TTCTTTATAGATCTTGGATACCAGCCCTTATTCTGTTGTGTCATTTGCAAATATCTTCTCCAATTCTGTGGGTTGCCTCTTTGTTTGTTCATTGTTTCCTTTGCTGTGCAGAAGCCTTTTATCTCAATGAACTCTGAAAAGTTCATTTTTGTTTTGTTTCACTAGCTTTTGGAGATGTATCTTGAAAGAAGTTGCTGTGGGTGATGTCAAAGAGGTTACGGCCTATGTTCTCCTCTAGGATTTTGATGGATTCCTGTCTCACATTGAGGTCTTTCATCCACTTTGAGTTTATCTTTGTGTATGGTGTTAGAGAATGGTCGAGTTTCATTCTTCTGCATGTGGCTGTCCAATTTTCCCAGCACCATTTATTGAAGAGACTGTCTTTTTTCCATTGCATGTTTTTTCCTGCTTTGTCAAAGATTATTGGACCATAGAGTTGAGAGTCCATATATGGGTTCTCTATTCTGTTCCATTGGTCTCTATGTCTGTTTTTGTGCCAGTACCATGCTGTCTTGGTGATCACTGCTTTGTGATATAGCTTGAAATCAGGCAACGTGATACCCCCAGCTTTGTTTTTCTTTTTCAACATTTCCTTGGCTATTCAAAGTCTTTTCTGATTCCTTAAAATTTTAGGATTGTTTGTTCAAGCACTTTGAAAAATGTCATTGGAATTTTGATGGGGACGGCATTGAAGGTATAGATTGCTCTGGGTAGCATAGACATTCTAACAATGTTTATTCTTCTGATCCATGTGTATGGAATGTTTTTCCAGCTTTTTGTGTCTTCTTCAATTTCTTTCATGAGTGTTCTGTAGTTCCTAGAGGATAGATCCTTTACCTCTTTGGTTAGGTTTATTCCAAGTTATCTTATGGTTTTTGGTGTATTGTAAATGGAATCGTTTCTCTAATTTCTCTTTCTACAGTTGCATTGGTAGTGTATAAGAAAGCAACTGATTTCTGTGCATTGATTTTGTATCTTGCCATCTTACTGAATTGTTGTACGAGTTCTAGTAATTTGGGGGTGGAGTCTTTTGGATTTTCCACATAAAGTATCATGTCGTCTGTGAAAAGAGAGTGTTTGACTTCTTCTTTGCCAATTTGAATACATTTTATTTCTTTTTGTTGTCTGATTGCTGTTGCTAGGACTTCTAATGCTATGTTGAACAATAGTCGCAAGAGTGGGCATCCTTGACGTGTTCCTGATCTTAAGGGAAATGTTCTCATCTTTTCCCCATTGAGTATGATATTCACTGTGGGTTTTTCATAGATGGATTTTATGAACTTGAGGAATGTTCCCTCTATCCGAATACTCTGAAGAGTTTAATCAGGAAAGGATGTTGTATTTTGTCAAATGTTTTTCCTGCATCAATTGAGAGGACCATATGTTTCTTCTCCCTCCTCTTATTAATGTGTTCTATCACATTGATTGATTTGCGAATGTTGAACCACCCTTGCATCCCAGGGATAAATCCTACTTGGTTGTGGTGGATGATCCTTTTAATGTATTGTTGGATCCAATTAGCTAGGGTTTTGTTGAGGATTTTGGAATTCATATTCATCAGGGATATCGGTCTGAAATTCTCCTTTTTGATGGCATCTTTGCCTAGTTTGGGGATTAAGGTAATACTGGCCTCATAGAATGAGTTTGGAAGTTTTCCTTCTGTTTCTATTTTCTGAACCAGCTTCAGGAGAATAGATATTATTTCTTCCTTGAATGTTTGGTAGAATTCCTCAGGGAATCCATCAGGCCCTGGACTCTTGTTTTTTGGGAGGTTTTGGATCACTGCTTCAACCTCGTTACTGGTTCTTGACCTATTCAGGTTGTCAATTTCTTCCTATTTCACTCTTGGCAGCTTATAGGTTTCCAGAAAGGCCTCCATTTCATCCAGATTGTTCAGTTTATTGGCATATAGTTGTTGATAATAATTTCTAATAATTGTTTTTATTTCCTTGGTGTTAGTCATGATCTCTCCCCTTTCATTCATAATTTTATTAATTTGGGTCCTTTCTCTTTTCTTTTGGATAAGTCTGGCCAGTGGTTTATTGATCTTATTAATTCTTTCAAGGAACCAGCTTTTAGTTTCGTTGATCTGATCTACTGTGTTTCTGGTTTCTAATTCATTGATCTGTGCTCTAATTTTAATTATTTCTCTTCTAGTGCGTGGCTTAGGCATCATTTGTTGCTTTTTCTCTAGTTCTTTAAGGTGTAGATTTAGTTGGTGTATTTGGGATCTTTTTATTTTTTTAAGTGAGGCTTGGATGTCTATGTATTTCCCCCTTAGGACCGCCTTTGCTGTATCCCATAGGTTTTGGACCAATGTGTTTTCATTCTCATTGATTTCCATGAATTGTTTAAGTTCTTCTTTGATTTCCTGGTTGACCCAAACATTCTTGAGCAGAGTGGTCCTTAGCTTCCAAGTTTTTTAATTTCTGCCAAAATTTTTCTTGTGATTGAGTTTCAGTTTTAAAGCATTGTGGTCTGAGAATATGTAAGGAATAATCTCAATCATTCCCCAGAGTAGGGAAGTTCTCAGCTACGATTTGCTCAAATACATCTTCTAGTCCTCTCTCTCCACTCCCTCCGGGATTTCAATTATTCTGACATTGGAACGCTTCATGGTGTCACTTATTTCTCTGATTCTATTTTCATGGATTCTGAGTTGTTTTTTCCTGGCCTCCTCTTTTCCCTTTTTATCTATTATATTGTCTTCCAGGTCGCTTATTCATTCTTCTGCCTCATTTACCCTAGCTGTTAGATTATCTAGATTGAATTGGATCTTGTTGATAGCATTTTTAAGTTCTGCCAATTCAGCTTTCATTTCTGCCCTTAGAGACTCTATGTTGCTATTAATTGATTTCTCCATTCTAGCTATTGTCTTCACAATTGCTAGCCTGAATTCCATCTCCGACATTTTGGTTATATCTGCATCCATTTGTAAATCTGCAGCATAAAGCATGATCTCTGAGTCTTTTCTAAATTGGGTGTTCCTCCTCCTCCACATCATTCTGTTGATGGGTGTTTGAGGGAATGTACAGAGTCCAAATTATTGGCCAGAACCCAAGCATGATGCACCTGTTTTCTGGGGAACTTAGGGTTGCTGGCCTCTTGTTTTTCCAGCCTGTCTTCTGCGGGACAGGCCTGCTGTGCTGTTACTCCGGCAACCCATTTTGGGCGGAGTTGCCCTGCCCCCCTGTGGCGGGGGATGGGCTCAGTGGGAATCAGTTTATGGGGCCTTTGTTCTCTGGCGGCTTTCCCTGGTGGCTTTCCATGTCTCTTCCGCGAGTCAGAGGAGAAGAGACTGTTTCCAACCCTCTGCTTCAGAGCAGAGAGACCACAGTCTGTTCTTCAGTGAGCTTTCCAGGCCACATCATCTGCGTTTCTGTCCATGCTGTTATAAACTGAAACATCCTGGGTTGTGCACCCCTCTGCAGCGCCCCCAGTCCTGCCTCCAGGTCAGAGCACGTCTCTGCCCTTTGTGCTTCTAAAACTGCCAGCCACTCCCAGTTAGCACGCGTGTGACCCTGCCACTCCGGGTTTCCTGCCAGGGGCTGCCCTAAAGTCCTTTCCCTGTTGCTACTGGTCTGCGAGTCTCTGTCCCATCCCCAGCATGTGAGGCTGTCGCTCACCGACGGTGTAGGATCCCCATGGCCAGGCTCCCTCCTGCTGCCGCTTATCCCCAATATCTGCCTGTGGAATCCAGGCTCCCCGCTTCGTACCTCAAAACCAACCGCCTGTGATATTGTTTGTAGAGATCCACAACTTCTTACATCTCAGGCTGGTTTCGTGGGTGCTCAGAGTGGTCTGGTAGATATCTAGCTCAATTCTGGGGACCAGTTGAAATAGGGTCCCTACTCCTCCGCCATCTTTCCTCAGTCCCTGAGTTCCAGTTTTAAAGCATTGTGGTCTGAGAATATGCAGGGAATAATCTCAGCCTTTTGGTATTGGTTGAGACCTGATCTGTGACCCAGTATGTGGTCTATTCTGGAGAACGTTCCATGTGCGCTCAAGAAGAATGAGTATTCTGTTGTTTTAGGGTGGAAGGTTCTGTATATATCTATGAGGTCCATCTGGTCCAGTGTCATTCAAAGCTCTTGTTTCTTTGTTGATTTGCTGCTTGGATGATCTGTCTGTTGCTGAGAGTGGAGTATTGAGGTCTCCTACAATTAACGTATTGTTGTCAATAGGACTCTTTATTTTGGTTAACAGTTGGCTTATGTAGATGGCTGCTCCCATGCTGGGGGCATAGACATTTACAATCGTTAGATCTTCTTGTTGAATAGACCCTTTAAGAATGATATAGTGTCCTTCTGTGTCTCTAACTACAGGCTTTAGCTTAAAATCTAATTTGTCTGATATAAGAATTGCTACCCCAGCTTTCTTTTGAGGTCCGTTGGTATTGAAGATGGATCTCCATCCCTTCACTTTCAGTCTGGATGTATCTTTAGGTTCAAAATGAGTCTCTTGTAGACAGCATATGGATGGGTCCTGCTTTTTTATCCAATTTACAACCCTGTTCCTTTTCGTGGGAGCATTTAGGCCGCTCACATTGAGAGTGTTTATTGAAAGATATGAATTTATTGTCATCATATTGCCTGTGAAGACCTTGTTTTTATAGATTGTCCCTGTAAATTTCTGTTCTCTCTCTCTCGGGGTCTTTCTCCTTTTATAGAACCCCCCCTTAATATTTCTCACAGGGCCTGCTTAGTGGTCACATATTCTTTCAGTTTCTGCTGGTCTTAGAATCTCTGTATCTCTCCATCCATTCTAAATGGTAGCCTTGCTGGATAAAGTATTCTTGGTTGCATGTTCTTCTCGTTTAGTATCCTGAATATGTCTTGCCAGGCCTTTCTGGCTTGCCAGGTCTCTGTGGATAGGTCTGATGTTATTCTGATGTTCCTCCCTCTTTACCTCAGGAGTCTCTTCCCCCTAACTGCCCTTAAGATGGTTTCCTTGGTTCTAAGATTTGCGAATTTTACTATTACACGTTGGGGTGTTGGCCTGTTTCCTTTGATCTTGGGAGGGGTCCTCTCTGCCTCTAGGACGTGTTTCATTCCCCAGATTAAGGAAGTTCTCAGCTACAATCTGCTCAAATATATCTTCTAGTCCTCTCTCTCTCTCCACCTACTCAGGGGTTCCAATAATTCTGTCATTGGAACATTTCATATTGTCACTTGTTTCTCTGATTCTATTTTCATGGATTTTGTGTTGTTTTTCCCTGGCCTCCTCTTTTTTCTTCTTTTCTATCAATTCGTCTTCTAGATCACTAATTCGTTCTTCTGCCTCCCTTACCCTAGCTGTTAGATTATCTAGATTAGTTTGGTTCTCATTGATAGCATTTTTAAGTTCTGCCAGTTCAGCTTTCATTTCTGCCATTATAGATTATATGTTGCCATTAATTGATTTCTCCATTCTAGTTGTTGTCTTCACAATTACTACCCTGAATTCCATTTCTGATATCTTGGTTATATCTGTGTCAGTTTGTCATTCTGTGGCAGAAGTCACAGTCTCTGAGTGTTTCCTATTTTGGGTGTTCCTCCTCCTAGTCATTCTATTGAGGGGTGGTTGAGGGAATGTACAGAGTCAAATTATTGACCACAACCCAAGCAGGATTCACCTGTTTTATAGGGACCTTAGGGTTGTTGGCCTCTTGTTCTCCTAGTCTGTCTTCTGGGGGAGTGGCCTGCTGCGCTGTTACTCAGGCAACCCTGTGGGGGGATGGGCTCAATGAAAACCAGTTTTTTGGGGCTTTTGTTCTCTGGCAGCTTTCTCTGGTGGCTTTCCTTCCCTCTCCTGAGAGTCAGAGCAGAAGAGATCATTTCCAACCCTCTGCCTCAGAGCCAAGAGATCATAGTCTGTTCTTCAGTGAGCCCTTCAGGCCACACTATCTCCATTTCTGTCTGTGCTGCTATAAACTACAGTGTCCTGGGTTGTGCGCCCCTCAGCAGTGCTCCCAGTCCTCACCTTCATGTCGGGGCACTTCTCTGCCCTTTGTCCTTCAAAAACCTCCAGTCGTCCCCAGTTCACACGTGTGGTCCCGCCACTCCAGGTTTCAGGTTGGGGGTCTGTCCTAAAGTCCTTCCAGTCTGCGAGTCTTTGCCCATTCCCCAGCATGGGAAGCTTTTGTGCTCCTGTGTTAATTCATCTTCCTGGCATCAGCGCTTATGGTAGCTCCCTCCCCCTTTTGTTTATCTTTGGATATGTGCCTGCGGTATCAAGGGTCCCTGCTTCATACCTCAAAACCAACCACATGGGATATTCTGATTGTAGAGATCCAGATCTATCTTCTTACATCTCAGGCTGATTTCATGGGTGTTCAGAGTGGTCTGGTAGATATCCATCTCAAGTCCCTGGACCGGTTTGAATAGGGTCCCCTACTCCTCCACCATGTTTTCCTCGGATGTGTCCCTTGATTAAATCTAAGACTTGCAGTGTGGTTTCATCAAAGAGGATAGCCCTAAGAATAAGTTGATTCTGAAAATATTAACTTACAAGCAAAGTAGAATTCTACAGCTTGTATTATAGGTATTAATATGCATTTTTTTTTTATTTTTCCACCCTTTTTTCATGTTGAGCTCCTTGAAGGTGAGGACCATATTGGATTCATATTTTTATTCTGTACAAAGTTTTTGCACAATGCCTTACACATAAGTACATTCAATAAATGTTTTATTAAAAAATCTTAAACTGGAAGATATATGTCTAGAAAAACATGAAACAGAAAGAATCTTTTTGATTTTTTAATTCACTTGAAAATGTAATCCAAAATATTTGGAACCATTTTAGCATCAATCATCATCTAACCTACTGTTTTCTTCTCTCCCTTTCACCTCTGTTTTCATTTTAAACTACAATGTTTTATCTTGCAAACTGTACATATGCAATGAGAATAAGGAAAATTTAGTGTAGCTGACACTATAAGAAGCAATGAGGGCATGTGTGAAGTAAATCTAAAGTTAGTAGATTCTTACCCAATTCAACACATCTTTCAAGGCTGCTTAAAAGGAAAATCCATCCCTAGCTATTTATTCATTTGTACAGTAACAATTGCTTTGATAGAGGGAAAACTTTTATAAATCATTCTAAGCTAAATGTAGAAGGTAGACCAATTGGCTTCTGGACCAGAGAATAAAGCCTAAACTTTCAAAAGTATTTCACAAATTATTTAGTTTAACCTCAACCTTGAATGATTCGTGTAACATAGGTCATTCTGGATATAAGTGATATACAACTACCAGTTAACAAGTATTTACTAAGCCCTAATAAGCATCAAGTTTGGTGTTAGGTGCTGAGGTTGTAATGTTGAGATAAACAGACATAGTCTCTGCCATCATGGTGCTTACATTTTAACAGTCATAGCTAGTATAATGATCAACTTTGGTTATAATGATCAATAAAATACTGACCTTAATATAGTATAGTTAGTATAGAATCAGAAATAAATAACAGTTACTTCATTCACAGTGTTTACTACAAAAATCCCTAGAAATATGACTCAACTGAAAACGATTTAGAATAATTGTTCTAATTGTAATAGTAATAATAGCTGATATTTAATGATTACCTACCACTTGCCACAAAGTGCTCTATGCCACTGACAAGGATTAATTTATTTAATCCTCATAATAACCCTGGAAGGCATGTACTATCATTATCTTCACTTTACAAATGAGGAAACTGAGGTTTATAGAGGTTAATAAGTTATCCAGAGTCATTCAAGTGTAAAGCAACAGATCTATTTAAGTAGACTAGCTCCAGGGTCAACGCTTTCATTTTGCAGCTCATCACTAATGGAGGATTTGGGACACAGTTACATAGATGACAATTTGAAGGTTATTTTCCAAATGCATTCAAGCAGCATTTAAAAATATTTTAATTTAATAGAAACCAAATTCAAGTTCATGTCTGTATGTGTGTATGAAGGATCAAAAGAAAACATGACTTTAATAAATTCACTTTTTATTATTGAGATTTGTATAAAGTTTATTACAAATAGCATTGCTCATTCATATTACTTCCTTGGTTAAAAAAAATCTCAGAATATTACAATGATTCCATCATTAGTTGTGTATCTAAATATATATTTCTAACTCATTCCATAGACCTGTGTGTTGAATGTACTATATACCAGAGGCTGGAGATATAAAAGATTTAGAGTCTAGGGGGAGGAACAAAAGGAAACAGGTAACTAAAATGCATTTCAGTGAATGCTAAATAAAGACCTGTAGCTGTTCTGTTGGAGGAAAATTGCTTTGTGATTATTATTGTTCTTTAATACATTTTTAAAATTTAGAACAGTTTTAAATTTACAGAATCGTTGCAAAGATTGTACAGAGACTTTATGTATATATATATGTATATATATATATACACACACTCAGTATCCTGTTAATAATATCACACATTAATATAGTACATTTTTCACACTTAAGGAGCCAATATTGATACATTATTATTACCTAAACTTTTTAGGTGGCCTAGAAAGTCTTTAGAATGGAATTTGGACCTGAACTTTAAAAGATTAGTGGGATTTTATGAGATTCCAAAAGGTACTCCATACACAGGGGAAAACACATTCAAAGTCATAGAGGTGTAAAAGAACAGGGTATCCTTAGAAAAGCAATAATTCTGTGTAGCTGCTTGAGGAAGTTATTAGGGTCAGAATGACTGGAAAGATAAATTGAAGTTGATTTTTGTGAAAAGCTTTTTACTTTAGCTTTCCTCTGGAATCTTGGAATCTAAATATAAATCAATAACAATTGAAAATTATTAGAAGTGAATATATAAAATTTTAAAGTTAGCTAATGAACAGCTTTAAAAAGAAGAAAATATTTTCACAGTGAAATTTCTCTTGTTATAACTGAGGCCCAGTATTGTCACTTTCTAATAACATATGAAAAGTGCAAGTAAAATATCATAAAGACTGAGACTTTATAACTGCTAAAACAGTACAGAAGAAAACTCTTACAAGATGGCAGCTTTGTGACAGTTATTATTTAGAGTGGTTATTCATGGGACTTATCATTAGAGGTAGTGATAGTCTAACTTTCTTGATACATACACATATTTATAAGAGACATACTTGATAAGACCTGATAAGTCATTTCTACCACTATTCATTTAAAGCCTTTTATTAGTCTACTAGGGCTGCTATAACATAATATCATAAGCTGGGTGGATTAATCAACAGATATTTATTTATTTATTTATTTTAATTTAAATTCAATTTGGCTAATATATAGTGTATTTCTAGTTTCAGGGATAGAATTTAGTGATTCATCAGTTGCATATAACACCCAGTGCTCATTACATCAAGTACCCTCTTTAATGCCCATCACCCAACTACCCCATCCCCCCACCCACCTCCCCTCCAGCAACCTTCGGTTTGTTTCCTGTAGTTAAGAGTCTCTTATGATTTGCCTCCTCTTTTTTTTTCTCATTTTATTTTTCCTTCCCTTCCCCTATGTTCATCTGTTTTGTTTCTTAAATTCCACATATGAATGAAATCATATGGTATTTGTCTTTGTCTTGACTCAACAGACATTTATTTCTCCCAGTTATGGAGGCCAAAATTCCAATAGCAAGGTGCTTACTTTGTGAGAGGTTCTTGTTCCTGGTTTGTATACAGCTGTCTTACTGTGTCCTCACATGGCAAAGAGAAAACAATCTCTCTCTCTTCCTCTTCTTATTAAGCTACTAATCCTACCATGAAGGCTCTACCTTCATGACCTCATCTAATAATAACTACTTCCCAAAGGTCCCATTTTTAAGGTCAACATATGTATTTTAGGGAGGACAACTCAGTCCATAGTAGGTCTTTATTATATATTTTAACATATAGCATTTGTGTAAAAATTAAGTTTTACTGACTCACTTAGTTAAGGTTTATTTAAAATATCTTCACTTAAAACATTCCAAAACATTCTGCTCAACTTGGTTTCAGAGAAAACATAATATGGTTTCACAAATAAACAGAAGATAATCTCAACTTTCACCATAGGCTAAGTAAAATTATATTCTAACAAAAGGGTAGCAGCTGTCCAAATATTGCTTGTAAACATTTTTAAATGCCACTTTTTTACCAAGGTCTCTGTAAAAAAAAGTATTTGTCAATCTTTCAAAAAATCTTTCATAGTGGATCTGAAAACTGACTTATTTAGAAATTCATTTCATACAGGTGCATATTCTTTGTAATTACATTAACAGATATTATTTAAAAAGTTAGTGAGTATAGATGTTATAATATCTCATGAGGGTGCATTACAGTTCTACCTGTTGATGGTTGCCAAAGAAGGAAAACTGGAAGGGGCATAGTTTTTGTTGTTTGTTGTTGTTGTTGTTTTTAAGTCACTGTGAGAATATCATCATTCAAAAATCAAGCAACCTAATGGTATCTGCCTCTTATTGATATCCATTTTAAGGAACATCATAAACGTACTTTATGCATTACTATTTTACAGAAAAAATTCTAATTGGAAAAGACAACTCTATACCATCACAGTGATTTTCCATAACTCATGTGTTTCTTATGCTGTGCAACTTACAAATATTCTCCTTTTTGAACAGGATTAAAGTCATATCTCATGGGTGATTAGATAGCCTCATTTATACCCCAAGGTTCAAGGAAATGAATAGGAACAATTTTCCCTTTAATAGACAGTTGTGGATAAGCAAACAAATACATGAACCTACTTTAAAAGGTCAGCTGTAATCAACCCGTGTGACTGTGGCAATGTCTTAAACATATACACAGTAATAAACCTGATAAAGACTACCTATTATTTCTTATTATAATATTTTCCTCTGGACTACATAATTACAGCCTTGGAATTTTCAAAGAAAAATAGAGATTTCATAGATTTTTTTAAAAAAAGTTTATGCTAAAAATAGCAAACTCTCACTCTACCCATCTAAAATCCAGAATTATTTTTAAAGGTTTTCCACTTCTCTCCTAATGTATGACATACTTTTTGAAGGGAATTGTATTTGTTTGACATATTCCATTTTCTGATTCAATCCAATACACTATAAAAATAAATATTTTTCCATTACATATTACAGTTAACATAGTAAGCTTTGAATATATCAGAAACTTGAGTCTATTCTTCACTCAT